AAGGAAAAGGACTCAATTTACTCTTTTATTCCCCCCCAAGATGGAGCCTTCTTCTGTCGTCCAGTCTGGAGTGCAGTGGCAGTATCCTAGCTCACTGCAACCTCTGCCTCCTTGGTTCAAGTGATTCTCCTGCCTCGGCCTCCCGAGTAGCTGGAACTGAAGCATGCACCACCGTGCCCGGCTAATTTGTGTATTTTTAGTAGAGACAGGGTTTCACCACGTTGGCCAGGCTGGTCTCAAACCCCTGAACTCAACTGATCCACCTGCCTTGGCCTCCCAAAGCACTGGGATTACAGGCGGGAGCCACAGTGCCTGACCCTGATTCACTCTTGTTTAGTAAGGGAGGTGATATCTAAGAACACCAAGCTGTTTTCTCAGCCTGTGTCAGCCATCTTCACCTATTCTGGGTGTTACCTTAAAAAAAGTTGCCATTTTTTATAGATTAAATCTTTACATTTTAAAAGCATGTTTATTTTATGTATTTATTTTTTTTAGTTAGAGTTTCGATCTTGTTACCCAGGCTGGAGTGCAGTGGCGTGATCTTGGTTCACTACAACCTCTGCCTCCCAGGTTCAAGTGCTTCTTCTGCCTCAGCCTCCCAAGTAACTGGGACTACAGGCACCCACCACCATGCCCAGTTAATTTTTGTATTTTTAGTAAAGACGGAATTTTGCCATGTTAGCCAGACTGGTCTTGAACTCCTGACCTCAGGTGATCCACCGGTCTCGGCCTCCCAAAGTGCTGAGATTACACACCTGGCTAATTTTTTTTTTTTTTTTTTTTTTTTTTTTTTTTAAGGAGAGATGGAGTTTCACCATGTTGACCAGGCTGGCCTTGAACTCCTGACCTCAGGTGATTCCCCCACCTCAGCATCCCAAAGTGCTGGGATTACAGGCATGAGCCACTGTGCCCGACCAGGACTGACCTAGGTTTTGACTTTCCTCCCACTCTGGACTCTGTACACAGAGTGTTTCACTTCAGAGCATCTTTTTCTGTGTTTTTTCTTTCTTTCTTTTTTTTAGAGATGGGGTTCCACCATGTTGGCCAGGCTGGTCTTGAACTCTTGACTTCGTGATCCACCCATCTCAGCCTCCCAAAGTGTTGGGATTACAGGCGTGAGCCACCGCGCCCGGCTGATGTGTTTTTTCTTTATTTAAGTCTGACTCTTCCTCTTTGCTCAGTGTAACTGCTGGGAAGAAATGGCTTCTATATTATTCTCACTTCAGATGGGCGTATCAGCTTAGGTCTTTGCCTTGAGGATCAAAATATTATCACCTTTGCTCATACTTCTTACGACCATCTCAGTCCTCTCATGGGAGACCAGTATCTGCTTTTCCCATCCTGCCACACCTGGAGAGACAGGGAGGCTGGATCTGGGTTTGCCTTTGCCTCCTGGGCTTTCATCCTATGAAGCAGGCGTTATTGTTTTTCTTTTAGCTGAGCATTTTCCCCAATATCCACAGGTAACAGCTATATAAACATTTGTAGTTCTTTTTCCTGCCCAACTAAACCCCATGGTCAGTATGGGAAATTCCTTTAGGCATAGATGCCATAGAGCAGATGCTTGTATTCCCAGCCTCCCTTGCAGCTAAGATGTGGGCCTGATTGAGGCATCACCAATCCCATGCCCCTTTTCCTAACCTAGCAGAGCTGGACCACGAAGAAGCAGGGGCCACAGGGAACTCTCCTAAAGTGGTCACAAGAGTGTTACAAGAGTCCAGCTGTAAAAAAAAAAAAAAGAATCCAGCTTTGACAACAAGACTAATAAACTGAAAAAAGAGAATGCAAATAATTAAGTGTTTATTGCTACAGGAATTACTGATATTTAAATATTCTAACATGGTCCTAAGACACCACCCCATTTGACAGATGAAAATACCGAGACCCACAGAGGGGTAAGCATGCTATTTAGTTAGTGACAACATCGGAATGGAAATTGGAGTGTCATGACTTTCTTTTCAGTGTGTTTTTGCGACATTACCCTTGTTTCCAGTTAACAGAATTATCTAGTTACTTGCACTTGTTTACCGATGTCACAAGGGTGCCAAGCTTGTAGGGGGATCACGGAGCACAGAGAAGATTCTCTAGGATAGTGGAGTGGAAGGAAGATGAGCTTTGCAGTCAGAGATGGGTTTGAGTCCTTGTCTCAGCCACTTTCTAGCTATAGCTATGGATGCTTGGCCATTTACTTAGTCCCTGAGCATCAGCTTTCTCATCTGTGTTAGTCTATTCCCATTGTTATAAAGGAATACCCAAGGCTGGGTAATTTATAGAGAAAAGAGGTTTGTTTTGGCTCATAGTTCTACAGGCTGTACAGGAAGTGTGGTGCTGAAATCTGCTTCTGGTGAGGGCCTCAGGCAACTTCCAAACATGGTGGAAGGCAAAGGGAGGCCAGCATGTCACATGGTGAGACAAAAAAGAGCAAGAGAGATGCCAGGCTCTTTTCAAAAGCCAGACCTTGTGCGAAATACCAGAACAAGAACTCATTACCATGGGGATGGCACCACGCCATTCACCAGGCCCACCTCCAACTCTGGAAGTCACATTTCAACATGAGATTTGGAGGGGACACACATCCAAACTATGTCATCATTCAAAGATAAGGATAGTAATTTGTACCTAATAGGATTTCTTTTTTTTTTTTTTTTTTGAGACAGAGTCTTGCTCCGCCACCGGGAACCACGCTGGAATGCAGTGGTGAGACCTCGGCTCACTGCAACCTCCACCTCCAAGCAATTCTCCTGCCTCAGCCTCCCGAGTAGCTGGGACTACAAGCTCGTGCCGCCACGCCCAGCTAATTTTTGAATTTTTAGTAGAGACCGGGCTTCACCATGTTGGCCAGGATGGTCTCGATCTCTTGACCTCGTGATCCACCCACCTTGGCCTCCCAAAGTGCTGGAATTTCAGGCATGAGCCACCACGCCCGGCCCCTAATAGGGTTTCATAAGGAACAAATATAGTAATACATGTCAAGCATCTTGCACATGATGGGTGATCAATACATATTTACAAATGTCAATAAATATTAACATTATTATTATTCTCATTTAATGTGCATAATTAGGAGTTAGTTATTAAGAGAGTACTTGCGTCAGTCAGTACTACATATTAATATAATTTCGGCTCTGCCAGCAGGAACCAAGGTAAGGAAATAATGGATATTAAGAAGATAAAAGAGGGGCTGGGTGCAATGGCTCATGCCTGTAATCCCAGAACTTTGGGAGGCCGAGGCGGGCGGATCATGAGGTCAAGAGATCGAGACCATCCTGGCCAACATAGTGAAACCCTGTCTCTACTAAACTATAAAAATTAGCTGGGTGTAGTGGCACACAACTGTAGTCCCAGCTACTCGGGAGGCTGAGGCAGGAGAATTGCTTGAACCCAGGAGGTGGAGGTTGCAGTGAGCTGAGATCGCACCACTGCGCTCCAGCCTGGTGCCTAGCGACAGAGCAAGACTCTGTCTCCAAAAAAAAAAAAAAAAAAAAGAAGAAGATAAAAGAGGCTGGATGTGGTAGCTCATGCCTGTAATCCCAGCACTTTGGGGGTCGGAGGTGGGGAGATTGCTTGAGGCACGGAGTTCAAGACCAGCCTGGGCAACATGGTGAAATCTCATCTTTACAAAAAATACAAAAAAATTAAAACTAGTTGGGCATGGTGGCACATGCCTGTAGTCCCATGTGCTTGGGAGGCTGAGGCGGGAAGATCGCTTGAGCCTGGGTGGTTGAAGCTGCAGTGAGCCATGGATCACACCACTGCATTCCAGATGGATATTCTGGTTGCACACTGCTCAACACGGTAATATAGTTTGCATAGACTGTAATGTGAATGGCACTCTCTGGATTTGTTCAGTGCACGACTCTTAACAGTCATACATGGTAGCTTCCAAGATAACTGCTAGTAGCCTCCAAGATAACAGACAGTAATGGTCTTCAATGAACAATTGGGCATCTTGTAACAAGGAAAGCAGAAAACAATTAAAGATGTTTTTGAATTTCATGATTGGAGGGGTCCTTGGAGATGATCTAGTTCAACTCCCTCATATTTCAGGTAGGAAAACTAAGATCCAGGGAGGGGAAAATACAAGGTTCATCCAGGGCAGAACTGGGACAAGAACTGTGTGTTGAGGCTCTTTGCTAATTGCCCTTTGTGTTTATGAAAATTTCATTGTTGGTAGGAGTTAGCTTTCCAAATCACATCTTAAAACCCCTAGAGAGAAGGAAGACTTGCAACTGCTTTGCATCTTCTAGGCTTTGCGAGGAGCAAACCCAGGACAGCGAAGCAGGAATTTGTTGAGTTCTGGGTCTTTGCTCTTCAGTGTCCTGCATGTTTCCTCAGGGTGAACAATTCCTGTTGAGAAATGCTCCTTTGAAAGCATTTTGTTTGCTCTTTGACTTGATGTTAGCTGGCAAGTAGTGTGGTTTGCTAATGACCTCAACCAGGTTGCTAGCTTGGTAGTAATCTCAGAACAGTGTCTCTGAAGACCAGCTGAACTCATTCGAAGTTTGCTGTGGTGAATTGATATGCTGCTTCAGATTTTAATTCAGAATCAAACAGAGCCTGAGTAGGGATGATGGGAGACTACAGGAAGCTGATGTTGGGCATTAAGTGCCTTAGGTTTTAAATTAGTAGCCAGCTATGCATTGCCAATTCCTTTTCCCTATCCTGCACAGCCAGGTATTTGTCAGTAAATGGATATGTGGGAGGCATTGTGCCACTAAGTGCTGTGGGAAAGCCAGGAAGAATCAAACTCAAGGGGGGTAAGTTTATCCCAGAGGACTGGTGCCTTTGGGAGAGAGCTGTGTGCAGAAATTGAACTTGAGCTATGCCTTGAAAAATGGGTAGGTTTAGAGCAGAGGAGGTAGAAAAGAGAATGGGGAAAGCATTTTGGGTGGGAGTAATGACAAGCTCAAAATCTTAGAGGGAGAAATTTACAAGGGGTGTTTGGTAAATGAAATATAGATCAATCTAATCAGTAGTAGGAAGTTATGAAAGGAAGATTGAGCTTTGTGCAGTGGCAATATTGTAGTCAATGACGTTTATCTGAGGCTCGATTGTTGCTAATTGAAAAAAAAAAAAAGAAAAAGAAAAGAAAGGACTTTGGTTTAGTTTGGTAGATCCTTAAACCCCAAATGTGGGAGACTTTATTTATTTATTTATTTGAGATGGGCTCTCACCCTGTTGCCGAGGCTGGAGTGCAGTGGTGCAATTACAACTCACGGCAGCCTTGAACTTCTGGGTTCAAATGAGCCTTCTGCTTCAGCCTCCTGAGTAGCTGGGACTGCAGGTGTGCCACTATGCCCAGCTAGGATTAAAAGAATTTTTTGCGGAGGTGGGGTTTCCCTATTGTTATAGTGAACTCCAAGTTTCTCTTCAAAGAATCAGTATGTCAGTATGTTCAGCTATCCTTATTCTTAAATGCTCTATTTTAAAGTTCAACTTCCTTGTAATTCCAGTAAACAACCTTCTCCACTGGTTCTAAACAGTAGTTCACATCTGTTCCCCTGGCCCCCAGCTCCATCCTGACTCATCCTGGTCACCTGCTCCAGTCACCTACTCCGATCACCTTCTTTGACCTAGGTGACCCCTGGCTACCTGCTGTGACCCACCAGTAACCATCCTTCTCGCCAAAACACCCACCCTGCCACTGCAGCTCCGACTCCTGCTCTCTTTAATATAGCCAGTTGGGATTAGTCTAGCTTGTGCCTGTAACCCTAGCCAATAGGGGAAAAATACAGCATTGGGGATGACCCCCATCAGGCATAAGGACCCCTTTCCCCTTGTCCAAGCGTGTGGTTTGCAATGCTCCATCTGTACACTGCACCCTTCTATAGAAGTAAACTGCCTTGCTGAGAGGATTTATCTTCGAGTGCTATTTCTTTTGTGGCATCAAAATTTTACTGATAACACCAGTTGCCCAGGCTGGTCTTGAATTCCTGGGCTCAAGCAATCCCTTCACCTTGGCTTCCCAAAATGCTGGGATTACAGGCATGAGCTACCACAGCCAGATGGATTTTGACTATATATAATCTGAAGATAAGCAGGGAGCCTCCGAAGGTTTATGTACAACAACATTATAAGATGAGGCCGTGTTGATAACTAACTTCAGCTTAGTCTTTGAGTTATTGAATATCCAGATGGGATTGTGATTGGGCTAAAAGATGATTTGGCTTCAGCCAGAGATATATTCAGAGGTGGATTTCATTTAATTAATTGATTAATTTATTTATTTTGAGATGGAGTCTCACTCTGTCACCCAGGCTCAAGTGCAGTGGCACCATCTCAGCTCACTGCAACTTCGGCCTGCCAGGTTCAAGTGATTCTCATGCCTCAGCCTTCTGGGATTATAGGTACCTGCCACCATGCCTGGCTAATTTTTTTTTTTTTTTTTTTTTTGTATTTTTAATAGAGACAGGGTTTCACTGTGTTGGCCAGGCTAGTCTCAAACTCCTGATCTCAGGTGATCCACCCGCCTTAGCCTCCCAAAGTGTTGGGATTACAGGTGTGAGTCATCGTGCTCAACCAGAAGTGGATTTTATATCTCACATTTTTGAGGAAGAGAATGTATCTGTGGGAGAGATTATTTATTTGCATACTCTTAAGGAGGAAAGCATACAGTAGTTTTAATTGTTGTATGAATGTGAAATATAGGCTGGGAGCAGTGGCTCATGCCTGTAATCCTGGCACTTTAGGAGGCCAAGGCAGGCAGATCCCTTGAGCTTGGGAGTTCAAGACCAGCCTTGGCAACACAGTGAGTGACCTGTAGTCTCAGCTACTCAGGAGGCTGAGGTAGGAGGATCACCTGAGTCTGAGAAGTCAAGCCTTCAGTGAGCCATGATGGCACCACTGCCATGCACTCTAGCCTGGGCAACAGAATGAGACTCTATCTGAAAAAAAAGGAAAAGAAAAAGTTAAATGTAGGTAGAGGGACAAAACATTCTGGGTAACCAACGGGGTAGATTGTGCTGTTGCTCTCACCTGACCTGCACTCTGGTAGAAATTTCAGAGAGAGACAAATTGTATTTTCTAGGCTTCCTTGCTGGCTTCTGTTTATGTTCTGCCAATGAGGCATTGGTGTGATACTGGAGGATGGAAGGAGGAGAGAATAGATTCTTTTCCTGCTTTTGGATTCTGGTGGCATCTTTGGCCAGCAGAGGTAACTGATGGTGATGACACTGGCTCCAGTGAAAATGGTAGTAATGGATCTGGGAGGTGGCTGCAGGGACAGGAGCAATGACTTAGAAGTACAGACTTCTTCACTTGGCTTCTAGGATACCACATAGGTTTTTCCTCCCATTCTACCAGACATTCCTTTTCAGTCTTCCTTGCTCATTCTTCCTTTTAAACTTGACTCTTAATGTTGGGAATGATTTTCACGTAAAAATTACTAACAGTGATTTTCTTTCCATTGTTTTGAAGATCTGACTTTATCTGTAATATAGCCCTATTGCTCAACATAGGAATTCATCTCATTTTACATGTGAGAAAATGGAAGATTTCTTGCCCTAAGGACTATTTCAGGAATATCATCTTGAGAAATTATTTCACATATGACTTCTATCTCTGAGGCTGAGGCTTAATCTCAGACTGTTAAAGCTAAAAAAGAGTCAAAGAGATTTGCTTGGCCTGGTGTGGTGGCTCACGCCTGTAATCCAAGCACTTTGGAGGCCAAGGCGGGCGAATCATCTGAGGTCGGGAGTTCAAGACCAGCCTGACCAGCATGGTGAAACCCCGTCTTTAAAAACAAACAAACAAACAAACAAAAACAAAGAGATTTGCTCATTGCTAGGATATTCCCTCAGTAAGAAACCTATAATCTTAGCTCTGGTCACCTCCTTCATGGGTTTAAAAACTAATTTTTTGTTAAGCTTACCCAGAAACAAACTAAGTTTAATACAAATGGTTATACTTTTCAGATGTTAATAATGTAAAATGTGGTCGGGTGCAGTGGCTCATGCCTGTAATCCTAGCACTTTGGGAGGCCGAGGTGGGTAGATCACCTGAGGTCAGGAGTTCAAGACCAGCCTGGCCATCATGGTGAAACCCCATCTTAAAAAAAAATAATAATGTAAAAGGTAAGCAACCATTTTGAACAATGAATTTTTGATGATGGGCATTTGTGGTCTTAAGGTAACTAAAGCATTCTAACAGTAGTGAGTGTTCCAATCCATGAATATGGTATATCTCTCCATTTATTTAGGTCTTCTTTAATTTCTCTTAGTGATGTTCTGCCAGAGTGTTCAGGATTGAAGTTTTGCACATTTTTCGTCAAATTTGAGAATGTACCTTTTGGGGGCTGGATGTGCTGGGTTATGCCTATAAAACCAATACTTTGGGGAAATGAAAATGGGAGGATCACTTGAGGCCAGGAGTTTGAGACCAGCCTGGGCATCAAAGTGAGATCCATCTCCACAAAAAAATAAAAAATAAATTAGCTGGGTGTGGTCGCATGCACCTGTAGTCCCAGCTACTTTGGAGGCTGAGGCAGGAGAATTGCTTGAGCCCAGACATTCAAGGCTGCAGTGGACTATAATTACACTGTTGCATGCCAGCCTGGGTGACAGAGCCACACCCTATCTCAAAAAAATAAAAATAAAATAAATAAAAAAAATATACTTTTTATACCATTTTGTGTTCAGCCTTTCCCCCGCACACCCCCCCCGCCCGCCCCGTCAAGCTGTTCTTTATTTCAGGAAGAGGGCAGGGCAAGGGACTCAGTCTTTCTTAGCAGCAGCTTTCCTCATTGGCAGCCAGGACGTTGCTCAGCCCCTCCTGCTTCCTATTGGTGCAGATATGCATCCTCACCCAGGCTAGAGTGCAGTGGCACAATCTTGGCTCACTGCAACCTCTGCCTCCCTGGTTCAAGAGATTCTCCCACCTCAGCATCCCAAGTAGCTGGGATTACAGGTAACTGCCACCACACCCAGCTAATTTTTGTATTTTCAGTAGAGATGGGGTTTTGTCATGTTGGCCAGGCTGGTCTTGAACTCCTGATCTCAGGTTATTCACCCGCCTTGGCCTCCCAAAGTGCTGGGATTACCGGCATGAGCCACCATGCCCAGCCTTTAGCGTGTCTTTAAAGGGGTTTATTAACATTGGCAATGGAGGCATAATTCAGGTGGCAACTTTTAAACCACAAATATTACTGCCTTTGCTTAACACTTTTACTTAATGATGATGGCTGCACTTTGTTTTATAGCATCAGCTTTGCTGTGTTAAACAGAAGGTCTAGTGTTGCACTGAGTGCCTTGGGAAATGTAGTCTAGAGAAATTGCAGGCTCAGTTCCAAAACCAGCATTTCAAATAAAGAAGGTTTTCAGTGAAAATATCAGTTTACCTTGAATATTTTCCCAGTCATGTAAGTAATCTTCATTTTCTTCCTTACATTAAATGTATTCATTTGTGATCTATGAGCTACTTTCATTATGATAAAAGTTTGCTGTATTTCAGGGATTTTCTTTTCTTTCTTTCTTTCTTTCTTTTCTTTTTTTTGAGGCTGACTTTTTGCTCTTATTGCCCAGGCTGGGGTGCAATGGCACGATCTTAGCTCACCGCAACTTCCGTCTTCCGGGTTCAAGCAATTCTCCTACCTCAGCCTCCTGAATAGCTGGGATTACAGTCATGTGCCACCACACCTGACTAATTTTTTGTATTTTTAGTAGAGACAGGATTTTTCCATGTTGGTCAGGCTGGTCTCGAACTCCCAACGTGAGGTGATCCACCCGCCTCAGCCTTCCCAAGTGCTGAGATTACAGGCATGAGCCACTGCACGCAGTCTATTTCAGGGATTATTCTTGTGGGGAGAGGGGCCTATTGATCTAATCTGGAATTTGAATGCTCTATAATACTCTATACTGCTATATGGCTGTGCTAAACACCATCACAAGTAGTATAAACAGTATATATAATTTGTTCATTTATTTCTTCAACAAGCGTTTAGTGAGCCACCTTCTAGTATATGCAGTGGGAATCTGTTATATTCTGGAGTTTCGGAGCTGAATAAACATAGTATTTCTTGTCCAGAAACTTTCAGGCTTATCTCTGTTGTGCTATGTGATCACATTAGAAATAAATCAATGCAGGCCGGGCACGGTGGCTCACGCCTGTAATCCCAGCACTTTGGAGGCCAAGGCGGGTGG